GGCTGGGCCCGTGAGCCATGGCCGCTGAGCCTGCGCGTCCGGAGCCTGTGCTCTGCAACGGGAGAGGCCACAACAGTGAGAGGCCCGTGTACCGCAAAAAAAAAAAAAAAAAAAAAGCTGGTCCTCAGAATTAACAGCTTGGGGTGGGGGGGTACCTCCCTGGTGGCGCAGTGGTTAAGAATCCGCCTGCCAATGCAGGGGACACGGGTTCGAGCCCAGGTCCGGGAAGATCCCACATGCCGCGGAGCACGGGCGCACTAAGCCTGTGCGCCACAGTACTGAGCCTGCGCTCTAGAGCCCCTGAGCCACAACTACTGAAGCCCACGCACCTGGAGCCTGTGCTCCGCAACAAGAGAAGCCACCACAAGGAGAAGCGTGTACTGCAACGAAGAGTAGCCCCCGCTCACCACAACTAAAAGAAAGCCTGCGCACAGCCATCCATCCATCCATCAATCAATAAATAAATATTAAAAAAAAAAAAAGAATTAACAGCTATGTGCTCCTCTGGAAGCCACATAATTTGGTCTGAAGGAGCCTGAATAAACGGTCATCGGGGGCTGCCTGAGCACCGACTCCACAGCTGTTTGTCGTCTCCGATCCCAGATGTGAAGCCAAATTTTCTGCTTCATCTTATCTCTGCCCCTTGCTACTCGAGAGGCTGTTTCGACGTGCACAAGCGAGTCCGGGCAAGGACGCAGGTGAGCAGGGAGTTTCTCTTCAACATGACTTAAGAGCAGACACCAAGCGGTCAGCTGTGGGCAAGCACTACCGTGGCAAGGGTTACAAGCTATCCAAGCTACCAGTTGAAGTCAGGGGTGCATTTGAGCAAGCAAACTGCACCCTAAACTAGTGTGTAGCCAGGGCTCCTAGCTGTAGCTGGCAGGGAACCAGGGAGCCCAGACTTCCAGTTTGGGACAGCTGCTGGCAAAAGCTAAAGCACCAAGTATGTCTGTCCACTGTCAGTTTGAGGAGTGGCCCCAGACAGGGGCTAGACAGGGACTCTTCCAAGTGCCACCCATCAGCACATGGTGAAGGGCTCGGTCACTGAGGTGGCCAGTGGGTAACCATCTCTACCAATGCACATCAACAGATCTTTCCCCGAGCTAAAAGCTTGGTTTGGGGGGGGAGGTCTTGTTTTGTTTCTGCACCTAACAATGCAATAGCCCTGACATTCCCTTCTACAAATACATGAGTGTTGGTGTCAATTTGGAATGACTGTGCACCTTCGTTTTATCTTCCTAGTATTTAAGAGAAAAGATGACTGTATTTTCTGACAGTTTCACTTTCTTTGTGACTCTCTACCTATGAAAGGAAAAACTAACAGTTCTAGACAACACTCCTCACCTTTTTGCTTGTGGCCCAAGACAGAATGGAACAGCCAGTACCCTCACGGGCCCGGTGGTATGTCCCAAATAGTGTGAAAGGACCCTTCTTCCCATCACTCAAATCAGACTATTTCTTCCTGATCTTTAATAATAATTGCCCCTCACTTTCTGGATCATTTCCAAAATCCTAGTCCTGTGCTGAAAATTCTTTCAACCTTCTCTCTAAGTGATTGGGCACCCTCTCTAAAATTTCACACACAAACTCTGTCTTTTACTTGTTTATTGTCTGATCATCCTGTTAGAACAGAATCACCACGGGGGCAGAAATTTTGGTGTTTTGTTCACTGCTGTATCCCCAGCACCTAGAAATGTGCCCAAAACAAAATAAATTATCTGTTGAATGAATGAATGGACAAGCCAGGGGCTCCTGGCCTATTTCACATTCTACAACTTGATTCTGCATTTTCCATTCACACCACAGAAACTTCAAAGGCCTCTCACCCATGCCTGATGTCAAACTGTCCCCATGTCAATTCCAGAAACTTGAAAAGCCATTTCCGGTTCAAAGAATCAAGCCCCTTGCCTGACCCTGTCATCTGTTTAAATACGGCTATAAATCCAATCCAGCTGATCTTACTGCTGCTCACATCTATCCCCTCATCTCCACCACCACTGTTGTTACCTTGGTCCAGGCCACTATTGCCTCTGCCTGGGATTTACTGAAACAGCTCACTAATCACCAACCCACATTCCCTAGAACTGAAAGAGTAAACTTTCTCAAATTGCAAATCAGATCACCTAAGCTTCCTGCTCAAAGCCCATCAGTGGCTACCCATTACCTACAGGATGGAATCCAAACTCCTTCCCAGGTAATCGCAGTCTTCCTTGTCCTGATGAACTACTTAAACTGCCCAGTCCACCAAGAAACGTAACCCCACGCCTTTGCCCACGCTTCCTCCTCTGCACCGAATGTCCTTCTTTTAAACACCTGGAAAGCCACTGCTCGACCTCAAGACCCCCCAGGTGCGTGCACCTCTCTACTGTATTCCCATCTCTGGACTCGACGATGTTTATACCCTCGAGCTCCCCCAAGTCACAAACCATCACGACTCCACCTGCGTGTCTACGGGGCCAGGCGCCGTGAGAGCACAACAAAGATGTTCTCGGGGTGAGTGAATGTGCAGAAATGATGAAAGTCCACTTCCCACAAAGCCTGTTCAGACAAATTACAGAGCGGCAGCTTCCTTTCACACTGCCAGGCTAGTGCTGGAATCCCCAGTTTATTCAATGGATATTCATTTCTACAGAATCCTCTACTGGTTATTTTTAACCCCAACATCAGAAAAGGGGACAAAAGGACAAAACTGCCAACACTGCGTAGAGAAAAATATCTGCCACAAACCCAAAGATGGGCTAAAAGGAATCTTATGCATATAACCTTAGCCCTCTGTATGAAAAGGGTCTTCTACAAACTATGCTATCATCTCAACTGAGCAGATTTGTACAATGTCAGGAAAATTGAACTGTGCAGTTTCAAAAAAGGTCAGGAAGTTGTGTAGACATCCTCTATTACTGGGGTCCCGTCCAGAGGTTTTCAAAATGTGCTGAATAAAGCAAAAATCATGGTCTCAGGGAAACTGTTAAAGGAGAGAATATCATACCAAAAAATCACTGGTTAAGCTAAGCCTTCTATCCTTCCCCATAGCCCATCCAGTGCTAAAACTTTTCCTTATAAATATACAGTGTACACAAATTTAAAGAAAAAATTAATTTACAAAATTTACACTATGTGAGTTTTTCTTAAAAATCAACAAACTCATTCTGGCTTTTCTTTTCTTTTTTTTTGGTCAGTGTCTTTGAGACCTTTGATCTGTAAGTTGAAAATAAAATTACACATAAATTAACAAAAATGGGTATTGCCAAAGAATCAAAGACCTGGCAAATTCCAGACATACTTAATGATTACATCTGTTTTTATTTTTGAAATTCAAGTAATACACTGTTCAAAGCACCACTTACAAAACTGCTACCATTGTCATACTTAATCTAATGTAGTACAGCGCTGCTCCATTCTCTGGAATCTGTCCCACAACCCCTGAGGACAGAGCCTGAGACACTCAGATCCCAAAGGTGCCAAAATGTCAAGCAGGGATTACATCCGCACCCCACTCCACTGGCACCTCCAGACTCCAGAGCAAGAGACACCCTCCTGCAAAGGAAGACACTTGTCACAGCAGAATCTCTTAAGCAAACTACAAAGTATAGTTTCTGACCTCATCAATGTAGCCTTGCAAGCTCTCGAGGCAGAGAGAATTATGAGGTGAAAATATATTTCTACTCTACCCACAAATTCTTCAACTGTTGGCAAAATTAACAGAATAAAGAAAAATTAGGATAAGAATAAAGCACCCTCGCCAGATAACAGATAAGTAAATGACATGGAACTCCGATCACAAGCAGAGAAAGAAAATATCAACTGAGCACACGGGACTGTGTCAAGGCTGACAATTTACCCAAGCCCTCAAACTCAATCACTTACCAGGGCTGATTTACACTATTACTTCTCCTGTCTCTGATTTAAGCTGTTACTTCTCCTTCTGAGGATTCCATTCTCTGGGGCTTTTCACTGTGTAATTATGCAACGTGGGGGCACCACAAAACACAATACAGCTTTACAAATGTTGGCTTTTTAAAAATTAATGTTATTTTCTCTACATACTTCCAAAATAGATGTTCCCCTCAATCCAGAAGACTTTAGTAAAATATAAGGACAATTTTAAAAAAGGACGGGAGAGGATGTTATTTAGAATTCTTACTTTTGATCCCACTTATTTATACATCATTTCCCAGACCTCAAAGATTTTTGCCCTAAGTGAAAATAAGAAAAATAAAATAAAAGAAGCAGCTCAGTGAAAACATAAAGAATAGCAGTAAGGAGCTTAAGACAGGGACACATCTGAGGTGTTGGGGGAGGGGGTCTAAACTTTCAAATCACCTGGTGGTCTGAGAAGTTCAATATTCTAAAATGCTGCAGTCTATAAGGTAAGACAAATACCATGATAAGAAAGCATTGTTAAATAAATGAAAGCTGAAAATGCAAACATTTTAAAAAAAGAGATCTACGCAAAAGGCAGTGTGCACTTAGGGGTACATAATATCATCTAATTCTCAAGGGTCTTTTGCAGGGCTGAGCTGACTTCCTTATCCCAGCAAAGTGAGGCCCAGAGAGGAGAAAAGTTTTATTCTTCACATTTTTGGAAAAAGGCATAGAAAAACGTTTTGATGGGGCTTCAGGGTGACCAAATGGATCACAAAGGCAATTTCTTATGGTGCTTCAAAGTTTTGACCACTGAAAGGCTCCGATCCCCTTACACTCATCAGACCTGCCCCAGAATCTCAGAAACATTAACAGCCGACTGGTGGGATACATATTGTCAAAGTTCTCCTTCCTTCAAAAAAAGGTGTCATCTATGTCAGCACTCTCAGGGTGTGAACAGATCTGTGATACCTCACTCACTGGGGGAAAAGTCCCACTGGTCCTGAGATGCCTCCATGATAAGGTGTCTGAGAACAACTGATCTGCCTCCAGATGCTGACAGTGGAAAAAGACTGTTTTGTTTTTCCAACACAAATGGGATTGGGGAAGGAGATGACAAGGCAAAGAAATGCACATACCTTTCAACTGGTCAGCAACAACGTTCTGGCCGAGGCGTTCAGTTACCTTCCCATCTTCCATTTCGTACCGGTCATCTAGGTATTTTGCGGTGGCCTCGGAAATGTGAACCTTGCCAGCCACTCCCAGCTGCTCCATGAGATTGGCCAAGTTCACATCATTGGACCACACATCGAATTTAAACCTCCTCATGCCCAAGATGCCGCACAAGACAGTCCCCGTGTGAACCCCAACACGCATGTTCACCATCTCTTTCTTCTCTTGGCAGAACTGCTCGATAGCCCTTATCATGCCCAAGCCCATTTCGATGCAGCAGTAGGCATGGTCGGCCCGAGGCTCGGGACACCCGGCCACACAGTAGTAGCAGTCTCCCAGAGTGCTGATTTTCTCACACTTGGTCTCCTCGCACAACCGGTCGAAGCGGCCGAACAGATCGTTGAGGAGCCCCACCAGGGCATGGGCGGACTTATTGGCACTCATCTTGGTGAAGCCCACGATATCTGCAAATAAAATACTGACTTCTTCGATCTGCTGCATTTTAAACGGGCGGAAGGCAATAGGGGCTTTCTGTATGGAAGACTTTTTCTTCCTGTTCTTGGGGCTGGAGGTGGCATGCCTTTTGACAGAATTCTCGCTCTCCTCGTCCCCCTGCTTCATCAAGTCATCAGCTATGATTCTTGGCATCACAGAATGAATCATCCTCTCTTTCAGGGCTTTTTCCACTTCCAGATCCTTTCCATGCATAATTGACTGGCCCACCTTGAGGAAGGTGCTCCTGGATCTCACCTGGGACATGATGAACAGGTGGATCCCAATGGCGTGAATGCAGACGTGGAGCAGGGCTCGGCTCAGCAGCTCCCAGTGCAGGGCCTCTGCTTCAGGTGAGGGGAAGCAGGCTTTGTCTTGGAAATGATAGCCAAAGGTCTCAAAAAGAACAGAATAGGCCACTCCCAAAATCAAGCTCAAGTACAAAGGTAAGTGCATGACGGTGTAGAGCAAAAAGAGCACTTCAATGCACATGGAAAAGCTCCCCACTTGAGATAAGCAAGTGTCTGTGGGCCTGGCTGCCCGAGTATGATTGAAGCTGTCAACTCGTCCTGAGAAGGGCGTCAAAACCTGAAACTGGGAAGCCAGAGTCAGGGCGAACACCAGGAGGGTAAGAACCAGCGAGGTCCACACGTAATGCCGGGCGTACAGCTTGGTGAAGGTAAACAGAAAAATGCCCACACACACCACGAGGAAGCACAGAGCAGGGGCTACCATGACAGTCAGTTTGGATCTCATGTGGACCCCAAAATAGATGCTCCAGAGAAGGCAGGCGAAGCCAATGTAGAAGAGCGCATACCGGAAGCGGCGCTGGGTCTGCGGGAAGCAGCGCTCCATGCAAGCCTCCTCCAGGTTCATGGAGTCGAATTTGGGGTCCCACCACCGGCTGGAGGCCCTCTCGAACAGCTGAGGCAGCTTCTTTTTCCTGCGCAGGCGGCCTCCGGCGCCCATTCTCCGGGGGACGCCCCCTGAGTCCCCGGAGCTGCTACAGCTGGAGGAGATGCTGTACTTGCAGTGTTTCGGGTGGCTGTTGGAGGACAGCTGCTTGGGGTTGATTTTGACCCTCACGCTGTTGCTGTCTCCGCTGGAGTCACAACTCACCTCGGTGCTGTGGTGCTGCAGCAGCTGCTGGTGGGGCGGGGAAGCCATGTTGCCCAGCGCTCGGAAGCCTCCCGGCCGGGATCACCAGAACCTATCAGCGAGACAACCAGAGTTACACTGGCATCTGTTCCTGCAGGTACGCACACCTGAAGGCCACGAGCTCTACCGGTTTCCTAAGTGGGGGCCCCGGCGGTCTACTGGGAAAGGCACCGTCTGCTCACAACAACCGGGTAATGTCTGAGCGCCACTCCACCGTCCCCCCTCGAGGCCAACCGCAGCCACCGGGGCCGGACCTGGAACACCCGGGGGTCCGAGCGGCGGCCACCCCCGCGCCCGTCCAGCGCCGCCCGAGTCCGCGGTGCGTTTCCTACGCGCGCACTCGCCTGCTC